ACTGATCTCCCATGGGTCCCAGTAGGAGTAATAATACAATAAAACATGATTTGAATAATAAAAATTGATAAAATCAAATTCTAAGTACATGTACATGTATGTATTATATATTCACATTGCACAGTATGAAACAAACGTTATTTTAAAACGAAGATCATAAAAGTTGCTTAAATTTGGCGTTAGAAATTGCAACACCTAACAATAAACATAAACATTAAAGTCAACTCATCTAACAGCTAGTGCCAACAAAAGGCACATTATTCAAACCCTCAGACATCACTATTGCATATTTGTGATCAAAATTAAAGAAAATCAATTAAACAAATCATCAATAGCCCAGCTAGTTCGGAGTCAAAATGGTTGATAATGGGTCCGGACAGTTGTGGGAAATGGATCTTTTCCCCTAGCTGGCAGGTTATTCCAGGCTTGGACAACCCGATATTGGAAAGTTTCCCTGCCAGATTTGGTTTTAGGAAGTGGCAGAATAACATTCCACATAGTATATACTACAGGGCGAGTAAAATAAAAAAAAAGCAGTACCCAAACCCCAAATTATATTTCATATTTGAAAAAAATTTGAGCACCAAAATAATAATGATGAATGAAAGCCAATTTCAATAGCTACTTTTAGATGAAAAAGAATTACTGAAATTGGTCAATCCTTTCAAAACAATATCATCATTTAAATTACAATGACCCTAAACCTGTCTCGTTTAAAAAAATAAAGATTTCAAGAATCGTGTCACAATTGTCTTTAAACATCACCAGCAATAAAATCTCAGCAATAAACTGCAAACGTTAAAAACTAGTCAACAAAGTCCTTCTGAAGGCCCGTCTTTAAAAAAAGAAGAAGTAGATTTATAAATCATTATTGTTTGACTAACCAAGGTTGTTAATACAGATATTGTGTGTACAGTTGGTGATAATTGATGAAACAAATATTCTGTGTCATTTTCTTTGTTCCAAGCAGCAAAAACACAATAAATAGGGTTTTTTGGACGAGACAGGTTTTTTTAGGGTCATTGCGTTAAAATGGTGATATTCTTTGAACGGATTGAGCAATTTCAGATTGTTTTTTTTATCTAAAAGTAGCTTTTAAACTTGGCTTTCCAATCGCTATTATTTTGGGGTTTTTGGAGGTACCGGGGTTTTTTTTGGACTCCGCCTTGTAGATCTTGTGCGATGTTTTTGTTTTACTTGACTAGCCTTTCGACAAAGTCATGTCATCGTGACCTTTAGGCCTACTCGGTGGATTGAACTCGGTGGATTGATTTCTCAGTAAATGTATTAACTGAGAAAATCAATCCACCGAGTTCAATCCACCGAGTAGCGGAGGCTATACCTCGAGTAACTCTCACGAGGCCTTTTTGAAATTGTCAAAATGTCTCGGGGTTTTTTTCTTTGAGAATTTATCTACTTTTTAGGGTTGAGAAAGACGTATGTGAACAATACGATAAGCGGTGATCGGTCAAGCGATAAGAACTGCATGTTGTATCTCAAGTCTCCCTTTTAACCGTTGAGGGGGTACTTGCGCGCAGAGACCATAGACACCCCCCCACTTCTAAGGACGTCATCGAAGTTTCTACATTGTTCCCCATTTGTGTATAGGAGTTTAGTTTCTTAAATTCGTGGTTTCCATTACTGTTGTATACTGTTTGTTGTTTTTTTTTTTTGCAGGCATGAGCTCGAGCTACGGTGATGGCGTAAGTTGTACTTTAATCAACATTTGAACGAACAAGCCAGATCATGCACCTTATGACGTCATAATACATCAAATTACAAGCGATATATAACAAGGCAAGGTTTTTTTTTACATTTAATTTATGAACAGTATATTATAATATTACCGACAGCATTAATCCCTCCTCCCTCCTCCCTCCTCCCTCCTCCCTCCCCGTTTTTCGAATATCCCCAGCTGCTGGTTAGCCACCACCACCACCCCACCCCCTCCCCTCCCCACGCACGGCCCCACCCAAGAAAATAGTTCAGCCGATGTAATTTCATCTTTACTTTTAATTTGCTGCAGGATTGTTGCGATGGTTTGTTACGGTTGCGATGGTTTTCCATCATTTCATGTCACCGGTGTTCAGCAGCCCGAAATAACATCCGGTAAGCCTATTTTGCTTTGAACAACTCGTTTTGGAGGAAACAAAACGCAACTCTCAGCCTAACCATTTGTTAAATCATAGTGCACATTACTTCCCTGTTGCTTCCAAAACAGTAGCATTATTCTTGTTTTTGACCGGATAAAGTATTTCTAAAAGGCATATACATTTTGAATCTGGAAGAAAATGGCTTGATCTGACATGTATTCAAGATATGAGGCAAGTGCTGGCGCATGTTTGTAAAATCGAGTAACGATTGAAAGATGCACAGTGGTTGTGAACATGTAGGTTCCTTATGGGTAGGGAACACAATGGAACAATAGGTTCTATCTAGACGCTACGGAATTTGAACTAAGTATAGACCTTTCTATTTTTGTGAATTCGTGGTTGGCAACATATTTTTCCAGGAAAGGCTCATAACGCCCTTAATACGATATAAACGGCATGTTAGGAATTACTGTGTAGCTTTGTCGACCTTTTTCATATTTTTCACATTAAATAACATTTGGAATTTTTTAATATTAGTAGTGTACCATTTTAGTTTGGCAACCCGTGGTTTGTTTTACTAACCACGCGTAGAAGGTCTTTAAAGGGAATATACAACAATTGCAACATCAAAAAAAAACAAACTACCGAATTAGTATGAAACCTTACTAAACTGTTAGCGAATGACAGTCGAAAGCATCCTGTAAAATCACGGCACCTGTTTTGCTGTCATTTTCAAGAAAAGTGGTATTTTTGTATCAATTTCCAACGCTGGTCGGCCGACCGGTTTGGAAAAAACCTGACTGTTTTCCAACTACTTCCCCCAATTTACCTTATTTATTCAGTCACATGTTGTTTGCAATTGGTTACACGCTGGGAAACAGGTGCACACCAGCTAGCTAGTTCCATGCCCTTACAAGTCCCTAAAGTCTATAAATTGGCTCCGTTTCATCTTAAGTGGGTTAGGGAGGGAACCAGACTACATGAACATGGTTGTTTTTCTTGGTTGTTCCACAAAACTTGTCAGTGAACTATATTTTTTTTATGAAATACCAACCCCCAAATCCATCAATTTCTGAAAATTACTGCAAAAACAGATGTTGTATATTCCCTTTAAGTGAGTATGTAAACACGGGTAATCGTGGACTAGGGACAGAAGGGTCAGGGCCACAAACCAAAGGGTCCACGATTGACCGATAGTCCACAAGTGAAATTCGTGTACAAAACCCAGCGGCGTAGCCCAGGGTTCTCATCCTAGAGGGTGTGGGGGGCTTAAGGTTACATCTGTACTGAAAGGTATAGACAGATTTTTTTTTCACCAGACACCGACTTCCCGTAAAATCAAATTAGTGTGTGTGTGTGTGTGTGTCTGGACACCATCTTCCCATGGAAGCTCTGTTCCACGAACATTTAAAAATAAACATCCAGTCGCGAAAAGAAAGGGTTAATTGGTGAAAAATACGCACAAAATCGCGGAAGGGACATTAGGTTCTTCCAGCTAATCATGGTAACTCATACGCTGTGCTTTTCCCTGGTTGCTAAATTTCCGGGGGGGGACTGCCCCAATGAGAGCTGTTGCTAAAAGTTAGAAAGGAATGAGGATTAGGGACAATAGGGGGTCCACGATTTCCGGTGTTTACAAAGATACAATGCAATACATATTTTATTTCATCACAATTAAAAGTCTTTAAAAGTGAAATTCTTCTTCCCAATTGTGTACATGAAAACAATATACGTTATTTTTAGACACGTAACAATTTTCATTAGTCGACAACTTCAGTTTATGAAAAGGTAATAAGTATAAGATCACAAGCAAAAAAAAACCTACTTTGAAAAAAGAGAAGCTTGAAAACAAAAAGCTTATTTTTATAAAAAGTATTCAAATTTGCATGCTGATATGCTAGGTTATTATAGACACGTGAAAATTTACATAAGTCGAAAACTTTAGTTTATGAAGATGGGTCCCCAATTTGGCGATCGTGTACAAACATATGGGAGGTCTTCCTAATGAGTACAAACAAAAGAGGGACAATAGGGGGTCCTCGATTGCAGGCAAATACACACTTGTGTGTGTGTTGTGTGTGGTTAGTTTAGGGATAATCTAAGGTAAGGCAAAAAAAAAAAATTCGGTCTCTGGTCAGACCAAAGTTCCGGAATTGAAGCGGCCACTCGGCTTTTTTTTTTTTTTTTGCTTTTTTTTTCTTCTTCAAGCTTGGATTGTACAGACAAGGTATGTACTATTTTGCTTTTTTGGTGTCCTCATGTACATTGGTGACCTCCATAATTTGCCTTGGTGCTTTCGATCATTTGCCTTGGTGCAATTTCCCATTCCTTGGTGCTCTTTGGTAAAAAAAAAAATGAGGAGGTGCGGAAATAGAGGGCGCTGTTGGAGCTACCGCGGAACATTTTGAAAAAAAAAAGATCGACGCGCATGATTAAAATCGACGCGCGCGCTGACCAGAGACCGACTTATTTTTTTTGTTTGGGCCTAATGGACACACCATGTGCAAACATTCAAAATTCGAACTGACAGAATATTACGAAATATCCTGCTTGATTGTACGTTAAAGGATCAAGCAGCCTGTGAAATCCTAACGCCTTGAATGCTCTCATTTTCGAGAAAGGGGAATTTATCAATTTCTTTGCGATAGTAAAGACCAAATGGGTGTCTCGGATTTTTTTTCTCTCGAAATACTGCCCCAATTAACTTTGGAATCGTTTGCATATCCGTGAATGAGAAGTGAATGTCTCTGGTGACAAATTGGGGATCATGCCACAGTAGTGTGCACGTCAAAACGTTTTAATGAACATTTTGGAGAGGGAGGGCTTTCAACGGAAGCATGTATTGTCACAGTTTTCACTGTATGATATCTACTGAGCTGTAAGTTCGACAGGTTTGTTTATTAAGAACCTTCTTCAGATATTTTTGTATTTCTTGTTCCTTAAAACGGCAAACACATCTTTTTTTGCAACCAGTGCATGTCCATTAGCTTTATAATACGGGTTCATACATGTAAGCTTAGTATACGCGCTTTGACAAAATAGGTGCATATGTAACTTCAAGAAATGTACGCTGGCCCAATAACGCTTTTCCTCACAGTTTTGTTTCGTTTTGTCGTTGTTTTGTTTTTTAAAGGAAACTGGTTCACCTTCCACACAAGCATGAATGATGGATATTCCAAATATTCTCACGAGAACCTTAAATTTGTCCACAACAAATTCTTTGAGGTAAGTTTTGTATATTTTCAATATTTGAACATCGTTTTGTTCCCATGAACATGACTGTATTCTGGTTATATTATGCTGCTGATGTATTAGTTCGATAATGTTGTTCGCATTATTAATCACTTGTATAAGATCAGTAAGAACACTAGCATTGTGAATGGTTTGTATCAGCATCATGCCGTAGCCGGGGGGGGGGGGGGGCGACACACCCCCATGAAACCTTGTCGCCCCCCCAGTCGCCCCCCCCCCCCCTCCATGAGATTTTGAGTTTCTAAAAAAAATTATCATTGATCTACATGACGCCCCCCCCCCCCCCCCCATGAAATGTTCCAGTCCCCCCCCCCCCCCCAGCGAAAAATTCCTGGCTTCGCCACTGGCATCATGGAACAATGTCTTTGCAATGGTAAGCAAACAGTTCTACTATAAAGGAGGCAGTGTGACACTCGTTTTACACTGAACCAACGTCTGGTTCATCTGAACCAACGTCTTACATTTATATGTTGCCAAGTAAGCAAATGAATGTCATAAAAATCATTATAGGGGACCTTCATTCATTTTATTGTTGTTCTACATATTGCAAACAGGTACTCACGCCAGGATACTACTATGTGTACAGCCAGATATGTTATAAAGTGGATGGTTCTTATACTTATGGCCACGATGTAGCTGTGACGCCCGACTGTGGTAATGGTGACAGGTTCCACATTCTTCGAGTCAAGTCAACACAAAGGTGAGTGACTGTTTTGTCATTTACTTGATTTATGGTTTTCTCCGCAAAAGAGCTTAATTTATATCCATTTCTCGTTATGTGGTATGATGGTCAGTACATAAGCAGGGAAGCCCGAAAGATTAAACTTACTTGCAAAGATAGTCAAAGACCCTTCTATTTCAGTGGAGTTCTGGAAAATTAAATTTATACGCAGTTTCTCAATAGCCCGCATGCGTGCATGCTGTTGCAAAATGGGATTTTGGAAGGGAATGTATCGAAGGTACAAAAATTAACAGCAGAATCATGAACCTAACTTTCGCTTGCCTTTCTTTACGTTGTCTCATCAAAACACTGACATTTCGTCAGTTTTCATTTTCAGTGGGACGGTGATCGCTTGCGCAGGGAAAGTCGCGCTGCCAATTTACTCAAATTACACATTTCGATTCCAGCGAAATCGCAACAAAGTAATGATACATAGGACATCACATTTCCTTCAAATTTGCACGAAATATGAACCAGACATTGTTTGGCGCCCTTTCCATTCCGCCGAATAATTCTCTCTACAATGACATCATGGGCCTACGAAATTATTAATTGCCAAAGCATTAACCTTCAAGTTTTCTATGTATACTTATCTGCAGAACGGATGCTGTTGAGCCCGATCTTGAGAACACAGGCTACGCAGGAGGCGTATTTTATCTGGCAGCAAATGATAGGCTTGGTGTACGCCCTCTACCGGGCCAAAGTGTGCCACTTGACTACCAGGATAGCATCGCACAGACCAGCTATTTTGGCGCTTTTTTGTTGGCACCAGACAGGCACGTCGAGGTCAATCCAGACCTAAGCCCGTGCACATAAACACATGCCATACTAAAGGAATGGTAGGGCCTACATGTATATAGCTTTATTACTTTATTGCTCAGATGAATTCATTTTTTTTTTTAAGTTCAAAAGACTGTTAATTGTGGATTTTGAATGGGGTCATTATTTCTCAGTTATACTTGTAATTGTAGACTTATACAATAGCAATAGTTAGCAGGCTCAATCCATGCATCCGTATTTTTAACAATTGCGTAATTGTATATTAATGTATTGCATATCATAAGTGCGCTAAAAGATCTTTGTTTATAGTGAAGTCAATCCAAATTTATGTTCCAAGACACAGATATTGTTTAAAAAGTGTGAATGAAATTGAAGCAAAATGTTAGTAATAGTCTTTAGTTGTTTATTGAGTTATGTTATTGTATGGCAAGTAATTCGATTGTACTGAAAGGTTCAAAGAAGAGTAAGCGTTTTTTTGTGCAAAGAAATATAAAAATATATATATATAAACCCAGATGATTATCCGCGTTAACTCCGAAAACAGTACTGTAAATATTATAATACATCCCTAATGTCAAGGTCGATGTCGTGTTCTAAGTACAGATAGTTTATGCATTGTAATATATATATATATACACGGGTCTGAAGTATTTAGTCAACTACTCCTTATTATTCGATTTCTGCAACCCTTGATGTTTTGCTCTCAAGCCCTGCTCAAGAAAATTTTGGAGCAAAGGCTCAGTCATAATGTACAAGGCCAACTCCAAGGCTTTGACCGGCAAGGCCAAGGCTTTGACCCTTAAGGCTAATAGCAAAGGTTTCGACCCTCAATACCAATAGCCAAAGCTATGGCCCTCAAGGCCAAGGCTTGACCCTCGATGGGAAGGCCAAATCCAAGGCCCTATTCATAACTATTAGTTTTTAAAAATGAGTTACGTCATCACAAATTGCTGGTATTAAGTAAAAACATCTGTATTTAGTTGCAGTCAGAACATTTTTTATAGGTATCATGTCTGATTAATGTCAAAATTTAAGTTCAGGAATTCCACTTTCATATCAAATGGTACCAAAAATGTTTCATTCGAATTAACTGTGTTTCTGGAATTTAGGTTTTCCTGGCCAATTTCCCGAAACGTTCATTCACTTCTGAAAATCGGTTTCAATTCAACGACAGTTCAATCGTTTTCATTGTCCGTGCATTCGGTTTTGAGAAACAGACGGCCAATTCCGTTACCTGTGCATTCATTAACGCAAGCATACCTTTTCTAAATTGATTTCAGGTACAGCTAATTTGATTGACGGTTAATGAAAAAATGAAAACCCCTAATTGTATCTGGTGCCAAAATGCAACCTTGCGCAGAGTGACCTGCTGCCCTTTGGGCCCCAGGTAACCGAATTTTTTGGAAAAATAAATAAACTGAGGGCCAATGACGGTCACCTTCCATCTAATCCTCATTCGACCCTTGCCAAATAAGCTGGTTCAATGAACTTTGCAGCCAGGGCTACACCCAGGCCGCGTCAACTTTCGACCAGGCCTCCTGCCAAGTCTCATTGTAACATCAACAAAGAGCTGTAACTTGACACTGTCATCTCCCTTCATAACTGCATACCACAGCCGCCAGTCAATTATCTTTCCAGCGCACTGTCTGGCAACTGTCTGGACACTGTCTGGCACGTGGCTTTTTGTTGTATTGCTATGAATGGGGTCTTGCGTAGTGCGGGAAAGTACCTGCTGCCCAAAGGGCAGCAGTTGACGAGTTGTTGTAAAGTTTTTTTGTAAACGCTGCGCAAGGTTAAACTAAAAGTGAAATAGAATGGTAAATGTTTGAAATCGCCCTCTAAATGCGACACAGATGTCTTGTAAACGAATCTGCATGGACATAAACGAAAGGTGCTGCTCAATCACGTATTGATTGAACTGAAATGGAATCGAATGTTCTGGTAGCGAAAATTAAACGCGTGTTCAGAGCGATTCTCAAATTCATACGAAAATGAATGACAGATTTTCAGAAGTGAGTGAACATTTTAGGAAATTGGCCGGGAAAACCTATAATAAAAGAATATTTTTCTTCCTCATAGTGCCACACACATTAGAAGTAATCTCAACCAAGTTTTAAAACAACGGGAAAATCTCAAATGACTAACTTTGTAACTTATTGTATGTGTGACTATTAAATGCTTTTATGACACTTTTATTCAGTATTTGATCAGTGAAGTTATTGTTTGGACAATAATGCATGTAAACTCACCGTCACCACGAAGTAACCTTAATCCCGCAATCATTTTTATTTGGGGGATAAACATTTCTTGAGAAGGGCACTTGCACATCCATACATCCATTTTTTCTCCGGACACTTTGCCTCCGTTAAATCAAGGGGGGGGGGGGGGGGAGAAGGGGCAGGCTAGTACCATCTGTCGATGGGGGCGCTGTTCAAAGCCGATGATTATGCACACTAACGGACAACAATGGTGCTTTTCAGAGAGATACATGCGCGAAATTAAAAAGAAAAGGGCACCCAGTACGGCCGATGGGACAAAAAAGGGAGCAAGTTCTTTTTTAAAATGGCACTTGTTCGGAAAAAAAGGCACTTGTTTAAAGACGGGCACTCTTTACAAAATAGGGGGGGGGGGTAAGCGCTGGTGAAAAAAAGGGAATTTGAATAGAGAAAGAGACAGTCTTTACAAAGTATTAGGGCCCCCCCCCCCAGTGGCGTCGCCAAGGGGGGGGGCCAGGGGGAGGCACGTCCCCCCCCCCTGGAAAACCTAGTGCCCCCCCCCGAGTGCCCCCCCATCAAATGCTGGTGCCCCCCTATCCTCTGCAAAATTCTGCGCGTTGTAAAAATCATTACCTCAAAAATAGCAATTTCTTGAGATATCTTCAGATCGAATTTAGCATCAAATGTGGCACCATTTTGCATCTAGCCCATCCTCCGTATGCGAACATTTTCCACCCCCTCCCCTTAGACCCCTTCCCCAGGATGGCGATCCGTATCCACCTAAGTGCCCCCCCCCCCCATCAAATGCTGGTGCCCCCCCCCTGGTGCCCCCCCCCCCCCCCCGGTTGGCTACGCCTATGATTTTGCTGCATTGTCTGAAAGAGGGGATCTTGATTGACACGTTAATGTATGGTTTGTATTGAACAAAAAAAGACTCTCTCAATGAGTTATCAAAAGTAACCAATGATAAGTCCACTTCGTGAAAACTACAAAAATCAGATAACGCTGCATGTGTTCGAGTTTTCACGAAGTGACGCTAGCACCCGAGTGTATAAGCTATAGGCTTAGCGTTACTTCGAGAAAACGCCAGAAGTGAGTCGTGCATATCACGTGACATTTTGTGTGACTTCGTGAAACGCAAAACCCGTTTTTGACGCGTATATGATATATGATAATTTATTGTCCACAATAAGCATGCGGAAATTTGCTTATATATAAACATATAATACTATACATACATACTTAATTGTCCGCTCATAATACCGACGCCTCATAGGTCCGAGACGCCTCATAAGTTCGGTAAAATCGCATCCCCTAACCAAATAAAGGCCCATAAGTCAGACGCCTCATAGGTCCAACGCCTCATAAGTCCGACGCCTCATAGCTCCGACGCCTCGACAAATTAAACGCCTCGTTTTTCCGACGTCGGACTTATGAGGCGTCGGACCTATGAGGCGGAATAAATAAATGTTATGCCTCATAAGTCCGACGCCTCATAAGTCCGAAATTTCGGACTTATGAGACGTCGGACCTATGAGGCGTCGGACTTATGATACTGCCCCCATTTGCAATATTGTACATTTGCAAATATATCAAACACTAAATTGAACTTATGACTAACAAAAGCTTAATTAACAATGTGAATAACCAATAGAAGGAATGAATACCATTAAAAAAATTCTATATACTATAATAATATACCAAAAAACCTATAACTAGAGGTTCGCCTTTGTTGAGTTACAAACGCAGAGTGGTTGGGCAGACAGCCTTTTCATTATACACTGCCCAGTTAAGTTAGTGGAACGAAGGATCACGAAATTAAAACCCTCCAGTACAATAAATTATTTTGTTGCAAAAATGTATCTTTAAAGGTGTGATAAATTTCAGTAAACATTGTATACCCGCAAAAACGTTATTTCTGGTTTGATGACGTCATCTGTGAAAAATGGTATACTGATAAACTTCGGAGAGGATACATTTTGATTGTGACGTTAAAATAACGTATGAAAATATGGGAAATATAATTGTTTGTAATAACACCTAACTTCCGGTTTGATGACGTATTAATAACACCTTACTTGCGGTTTGATGACGTCACAGCATTAGAGATCCAAAGGTGAACATTGTAATGGATATCATTCTTTGGACTACGAAGATACGACAGGGATCAAATGATAGAATTTAATTTAAAATAGGATCCTTTTCAAATTCTCCTAAAAGTAACTTCCGGTCTGATGACGTCATGAATTTGAAACCTTGCCAATTTACCTGTGGTTAATCAGAGAATATCAAGGGGCAATTTTGTAAAATTTGAACGGATGGTTTTCAAATTAAAGAAAGCAAACACTATTTTATGTGCCGCTAGGGGGCGCCCTTTTGAAAGATGACGTCATCACACTTTTTTTGTGACTGGCATTCCTCACTAAACACTTTCATAATTTATATGTGTGTAGTAAAATGCTTCCGTTTTGAGTTACATTCAGTTTTGATTGCACTTCCGGTAACACCGGAAGTGGAGGTCAAGCGGTTTTGTGTCCGGGGACAAGAAATGTTTCGCACGGCATAGTAACGCAGAATGGTCGGGAGGCAATTTGTTCATGAAACACTGCCGAGTTAAGTTATGAATATCTTTATGTATCAACAAAGGATCACGAAATTAAATCCTTTCTATCACAATAAATTATTATTCCCTTTCGGATGATGACGTCATCACACTGTTTTTAGGACTTGCACTTCTCACTAAACACTTGCATAATATATATGTCTGTATTAAAAATGCTTCCGCTTTTGCGTTATATTAAGTTTTCATTGCACTTCCGGTAACACCGGAAGTGAAGGTCAAGCGGTTTTGTGTCCGGGAACAAGAAATGTTTCTCACGGCATAGTCTTCAACCACAGGAAAAAACGAACACGATTCTCTATTTACTTCAAAAGATATAGCGCCAACTATTTTGTCAAAATTTGCCCTTGAATCGCTTGTAATTTGATACCTGATGACGTCATGATGACGTTACAAAATTTATAACATCTTCGTAACATGGTACAAGTTCACACTAGGTTTTAGGATCATACCGTAAACCGTTTGGAAGAAACGGTGCTTTGTTTTGATTTCAGGCTAATGTCTTCATTTTGAATTCACCTAAATTTGACCTTCCGGTAGAACCGGAAGACAAGATCAAGCTAGTTCACGTACGCGACATAAAATGTTTATCAAATAATGGTCTATCTGATTACAAGGTTGGAACATGATTGATCATTCTGTTCAAGAGTTATAGGTGACAGAAGATCGTCATTTTTTTTAACGAAAATCGCTTGTAATTTGACACCCGATGACGTCATAATGACGTCAGAGTAATATGCACCACTTAGAATGAGTAGTCAAGTTCACTGTGTAATTTCGTTAACTTTTTTGGGGGATTTGCAAACCTATACATTTTTGGAATCTGTGTGGTATAGGCAATCAGAAAACCAATGTTTACAATTTGCCGGAAGCATGCATGGCGGCCATCTTGGATTTTCAAAATGGCCGCCTTCAAAATGGGTGTTTCTCAATATCTCAGCATCCAGGTGGCCTAGAGTCATGATTTTAACGGCTAAACATACATTTTCAGGGGTGAGGAAGCCAGTGGTACAAAGTAAAATAAGCTAAACATAACCACAAAGCGGCCATCTTGGATTTTCAAAATGGCCACCTTCAAAATGGGTGTTTCTCAGTATCTCGGCATCAAGGTGACCCAGAGTCATGATTTTAACGGCTAAACATACATTTTCAGGGGTGAGGAAGCCAGTGGTACAAGTAAAATAAGCTAAACATAACCACCAAGCGGCCATCTTGGAT